TGTATAAAGTATATATATGTATATACATATATATTTATACATAATATATTTATACATATATATATACATACATACATACATACATACATACATTCATATATATATATATATATATATAATAATATAATATATATAATGTATATATATATATTTAAGTATATATATATATATACATATATACATATATATTTATACATAATATATATATACATACATATATACATACCTATATATATATATATATATATATTATATTTATGTATAAATATATATAACAACGCTTGTAGGGACATTTACATTTACATGCTATTCTCAACCCCCCACAGCCGAAGTCGGTGGCTTCCTCCCAACAAACGCGACAAACAACATGAATTTGGCGCCAAATGTCGGCCAGCATAGCTACACGAATCAGAACACGCACAGCACGTCATCGGACGAGTCCAGCCAAAGCATCAGTCGAGCGGGTAGTCTATGTTGTGCGTGCCACCAGAAGCTCTCCAGTACCCATTTCACAGCCTCAAGCCGGACTTCGGCCTCGAATTTGCACTCAACGAGTGAGTTTTGCTGCGAGAAAAAGGCCCAGAAACTGCTAATGCCCAGTGCTGGTGGTCACACGGGTGCACCTAATGCGAGTATCTCGGTCGACGCCCCGGCGACTGATACTAGTGGTATGTGGTTGCTGGGAAAAGTAGAAGTACATAGACAGATAGAGAAAAAGGTGTTGTATATTAATAGGTGCACATTCGTAGTGTGCATGTGTGGCCTGGGTATGAGGACACTGGATTACGCAGGGTTACGCACACAACCGTTTTGGTTCGGTGAATATATATATATATATATCCATACACACACATATATATACACGCATTTGTATATAATATATATACATATATATATATAAATATATATAATATATTAAGTATGTATTATATATATATATATATATATATATTATATATAAATAAATATATATACGAATGTATATATATATACATATGTATATATATAGACATATGTATATATATATACAAGTGTATATATACACAAATGTAAATATATATACACATATACAAATATATACATCAGCTCATCGATACGTACTACTCCACACACCCCAACCACAAGCAGCCTATACCCAGCACAACACTCAACCCCCGCTCTCTTTCTCACTACCCTCTCAGGCTCTACATCCGCCCAAGACACCGGCAATACCGACTCTGTCTACAGCACCTACGGACTTCCGTACGACCACCCCGAAGCCTGTGCTATCTGCCTCGACGACTTCACAGGCGGCGACCCGCAACGCGCATTACCCTGCCGACACGGCACACACTTCCACCGCAGCTGCATTGACCCGTGGCTTACGTTGCACCAGACCTGTCCTCTGTGTAAGACCAACTTCCTGAACGGCTCAGCCGTTGGGAAGGGGAAGGGCCGGGATGGGGTCAATGTCGATGACCGCGAAGAGTTCTATCGCAGCCAGCAAGACGCGGAGGAGGGGACGGCAACCGCGGGCAGGAGTGTGAGCACGGGTAACCATGGCAACAGCGCGAATCGATTCGTGAGTGGGCTGCGCGGCGTGCTGCGGAATGTGGGAGTGAGTTTGGGGGCGTCACGAACCGATTCCGAGCGGGGTATGAATGGGTATAGCGAGGGGGGAGAGCAGGAGGAGGATGGCGACGATGATCTCGATGCAGAGGTTAGCTGGGAGCAGTTGCAACAGATTGAAGCCTTCACAGCCGACCAGGTACCGAACAGCGGACAACTGTTAACGGGCAATCGCTACGCATTGGTGCTGGTGGATCCGCGCACGCTGGAGTTTGATATATAAGCACACTGGGCGTGTATAGGAAACAGGGCAGGCATATGCATACGGACACACACACAGATACATGTACATATGCATGTGTGTATGTGTATCTGTATGGGGATCCATATACCTTTATTCCCCAGGTGCATGTGTATAATCGTATGCGTGTGCGCGAGCAACTGCAGCAGATCAAAGTATTCACGGCCGATGTGTACCGAACTGTGCGCAGTTGCTGACAGGCACTTGTCAATGAGCTTGTGCTGGTAGATCCGCCCAAGCTGGAGTGTGGTAGCAGAAAAAAATTCCGCAACGGACCGATTCCCAAGGCCCTTTTTTTAGGTGCACGGGTGCATATACCACTGTGGCGATGGAACAGTGTATAAAACTTCGGACATGCGTGTGTTTATGCACGTGTATGTGTATAAATGTGTTGGGGGGGGTGGGGTGTATCGTACTCCAGTGTGTATGTGTATGCGTGTGGGTGTGCTTCCGACACACCCACTTTGTGTGCCCGTGTACATTGCGGATGGGATGTCCTTCCACTGAGATACACGTGCATGTGCCTGTGCGGGTCTCAGAGAGGTCAGGGCTTCGTGTTAAGTCTATGTTTAGTTGTACTACTAGACAAGCGAAGGGCGACTCTAAGGTCTCTGTAAGGCACCGATGTGATACGTAGACGAGATGAAAATATATAAACACACGCATACCTATGTCTGTGTGCGTGCGTGTTTGTATGTATACATACATACATACATACATAACCCATCTCCCATCTACACCGAATGGTACCGGGCACATGCACGTGTCGCAGCAGAGTGCGTGTGTGGGCAAACACCACGTCATCACAATGTTATACCGTACGCGGACGAGTGAGCGAAATCAATAAATAGGATACTACATCCAAATATCCAAATGAAATACCCGAACACCGCTCATGGCACCAGTTGTCTATGAACGCCCGTACTAAATTAAATACATTTACACCCCTCCCCTCTCCATCTTCGAGAACTTCTATTCCATAGAAATAGGTATGATACATACGCGTGTATTTATATACACCTCATTAAATACATTTAGGACACCCTTTCCATCTTCATCTCTGAAAAATTCAATCAATTGCAAATACGTACCATACATACGCGTGTACGTCTTTACACCTGATTAATACATTTAGGACACCCTTCTCCTCTTCATCTCCGAAAAATTCAATCAATTCAAATACGTATGATACATACGCGTGTATTTATGTACACTAGTTATGCACTTTTAGAACAGCCGGGCCCAAATCTCAAGCAAAGTATAGACATATTGCAGATGCGTGCATGTATATACACCTTGGGATATACATCTAGGACATCCCTCACCCACCCCCAATCTACGGAAAAGTAGTTGTATTGCGAATACGTAAAATGTATACGCGTGTATGCTTGTACACCATGATAAATACATTGAGGACATCCCTCACCCACCCCCAATCTTCGAAAAAGACAATGTATACTTCCATTACTTCGAACGAAGCCATGAATAAACCTTGTTCGTTCTTTATTATATATTATATATATATACTTAAAAAAAACATTTAAATATACGTATACAAAGCTATAGATACATCATACATAAACATTAACGAGTCAGTTGGCATAGCGCCAATGAATGAGCATTATATATTTTATATGACACACACACATATATATATAGATATATACAGATACATATATGTAATTATATAAATATGCGTCGCAATCACCTCAGGAGTGTTTAAAGTATGCACACCGAAACTGGTCAAAAATGAACCGAAATTTTATTCAAGACAGACAAGTCCCAAATCATCTACCATTGGCCTGGTCTCCTATTGTAAAAACTAGGACATTCCAATACATTGCGGCTGAAGGGTAACGTAAAACCCACACACGATGTCTGCTATGCAATTGCTGACAAAGGCCACTCAAGGGTTTGTACATGCGTTCTTGTACACATCTGGCAATACGCGCACCGGAATCCGTTGATTCATTCTCATAGTTCTGGACGTACATGCAACGAAAAGGTGTCCACGGACCAACAGAAATGCACTGACAGCTCGCATCAAAAGAGGTACACACAAACTGGGATCACAGAGCCCAAAAATTCTGAGCCCCATTCCAGAAATTATGGGCCCCGGATACACCTTTTGGGTCGTTTACTCCTCCTTAGTACTAACTGCAGTTTTGGTGTCTGCGGCAGCCGTCTTTGTGTTATCGGCTCCCTTTTTCTCGTACGCTTTCTTGTAGAAATCAGCGAAGAGGACCAACATGTTGACCTGTGCGTGAGGTATACGTGATCGCAATTGTGAGAACGTCAGGGGGCAGAACACAAGGCCATAGTGCAAGATAGGGTAAGGAGAAGGATAGGACAGTGATAGATAACAGGGTGAGATGTAGCACAGATTAACCATTGAACCGGATGAATGTAGGAGCATCTCTCTCCATTGCTAGTATTGGTTTCAGGGTTTGGGGAGTAAGATATGGATAACGGGGACACGCAGTCACTCGTGAGAAGGTATTGTGCACAAGCACAGCAGCACGATTTGGATATTTGACTAGGTCAGTATATATATATATAGGCATATTAGTACATAACGAGGAGCACTAGTTTGTCCATTGAATGTCTGTTGAGAGCGATTGGAATATGCTAGTCGTAATGGTGGTGTAGGTATAATGTATTGTGTAGTCGTATTTAGGTAGGTATATGAGCCCTGTGGCGACCTCTCTCACAACAAAGATCAGGAACACCACTGCTTACAATGATTAAGTCCCGCGCTCAGTGTCTGCTTCATCTGTACGTATTGTAATTGCAATCTCAAAAAGAAACTCCAGGTTTAAGTACAACTCTGAATCGTTCTTGTCTAGGCCTTCGATCATAAGAAAGCTAAGTTAAGTTAAAACAAAAAAACCCTCAAAACCAATATGTATACTAATCTGATTCTTTACTAAATTCAATTATTAGATACGGGCCTACACAGACGCGTGGCTATTGCGCTTTCGAGTTCCCCCGTGCGACCATTTGACAGCGCGCGTTGTAGAAGAAACCGGCGAAAAACACCAACATGTTGAGCTGTAGGTGAACATAACACCGTTATATATTTTAGCTACATATGTGGACAAAGTATTGCCGTGCTAAACGAGGATACATACATGCAACCATAAAAACATATCTATATATATTGCATATATACGTCCCAGTGTGTCAACCCATTGCTGATACCGCTTATAAATACTGACGCTCGAGATAAATAATTGCACTGAACAAGTCAGTTAGATGCCCTAGAGTCTCCTATGTACACTACGCTTATGAGCGATATATACAGATCATATAGCCAACTCATCAGACATAGCAACGAACGCGACAGAACAGGTACTCTGTTCAGCGTAAGTAGGAAGCTAGTTGTGAGTCAAATATTTACGTGCTCTCGAATGAGATACAGGTAACAGTTCACTATTATTATATGAACTGGTTGTGAATGTACCCGATTAAGGGAGGAGCTGTACGCCCCGTACGCATAGATACAAATGCAATATATATATATAATATACGTATATATAACATTTAGTTTTATGTATGACGTGTATATAAAAAGATTTGTAATATTTTTTGGTATATAAAGTTTTGCGGGAATAAGTTGCAAGAACAAACGTAAAAGCACAGTCTATGCGCATTGAGGGGTGGGGGAGTTTGCCACGACACGGCGTCATAAGCACACAGTAGGAAAGTATCCATACTTGAATTAGGGTGTCACAGATATCAAATGATTGATTCCATAAATATCGGAAACTTTCAATAATATATATCTCTATATAAATTTATATCAATATATAAATGAATATACACAAATATATATATCAACGAGTAAAAGCAAATCACAAATATATACAGATAGGAGGACAAACGTAATCAGACTTCACATACCATGACAAAGACCTGCAGCGAGATGAGCCATCTGGGGTATTCCGTGGTGTATGTGAACGCGTACACAGCGTGCGCCAAGCAGATGACAAATTGTGTCAGCTGTGCCTGTGTCAAGTGTCGTTTCCATGGACACCGAACCTTCAGCAAGGCTAGGAGATAGTACGCATACATCATCACGTGGATGCCCGAGTTCATTAGCGCTCCAAAGTAGCTGGTGCCGCCGCACTCGAACCTAACAACGGCCCACCAGGCCCATAGGATGAGGGTGTGATGCCACATGTGCAGGAATGTGATCTGGTTGTTCTTCTTACGTAGCGCCATGAACACGGTGTCAAGCATTTCAATGTACTTGTTGTTGTAGTGCAGCCAAATAAGGAAGCCAAGGTTGAACCCAGCGGGTGTTTTGTCTGCGCCGGAGATAAAGGTCGGCCCGTTCTCGGCGAAGACCTCTTTGAGGAACGACACTACCGACCACACATTGAACAATGTCTGAAACAAGTTATACATCACCATATAACTCTTGAGTTGGAAGGGCTCGCGGTTGACCATGTAGGAATTCTTAAGATATAATATACCGGCCACATATACGAACGTCATCACAATCGGCAACGCCAAACTGATCGTTGAGAAGGGGTCGTACATTTGTCTGTGCTCTGCACTCCAGCACCAGTTCATCGCCACCAGCTGTATCGTAACCACGCACAGGGGCTTCCACATATCACTAGTCCATCCCGTTTCATCAGCTTTACGACCCTCATACGCGACCTCGCGTACTGTATCGGTCGCATCGCACACCATGCGCGGCGCATCTTTGGCGCTGGCTTTGGATACCGCGCTGGCCACGCGCGAAACGTCGCGTAGTGCGTCTGATGCGATTGAGCGCGTTCCCTCCAGCGAGCTGGTGAAGCCATCCTTAGCTCCAGAGATGGTGGAGGTGGCTGCCTCATGAGCGGATTTGGCTACTTTGGAAGCCATGGTTACCTAATATTTGGCCTACTATTCTATGGACTGTCTGTGTTAGACTGTTGTTACTGGTTTATTCCCAGTACGTGCGGATATTTGAGACTGACCTATTCAATTACTACGGCCAACGTGAGCGTACGTCCGGTGTTTAGTGTCAATCCGTGGCGATTCGTTGTCGTCGTGAGTGTCTACGAATAAGCAAAGTATTATGCAGGACGTCGTGTGGTGCGTCACTCTTTGAGTCAGTGTAAATAGTATTCACCTCCACAGAGAGTATATACAAACGTGCAAAAATTGTCAGCACAGAGAGAGTACCGAACTGATGGGGTATGTAACACTGGGACAGCCGCCAGAACCCACCAAAAAAAAAAATCATCTGGGGAATCGGCAAGAGACCTGAAGGCTGACAGTAAGGCTGAAAACAGGAATCGGGATTGTTGATGGGTTTTTTTTAGCTACGCAAGCCTATAGCCTACAGGCTACAGCACAATGATCACATGAGTTTCTCAGTTTTAAATACAGTGGCCTGTGCCACTTTCACTCTATTATTGCCGAATCAAATAGGCTGATCACAGTGACTAGTGATCAGTTGATCACACACTCACGCAGAGTTGCAGAGTGCAGACACACACAACAAGAGAGAGAGAGAGAGAGTTCACACTTTCAAATTTCAATCTCACACAAGAAGTTTACAACAATGTGAGTTTTGTTTTTATTGGAAAAAAAACTCTTATGTAGTACATACAACAGATCTCTTTATTTATTTTATTTTTAGAACAATAGAGTGTATGTAAGGTAAGTGTGTACAAAATAACGACAACATGACCGAATGAAAACCCGACTCGGGCTGACGCCTGACAGGGTATCCTTTCATATATGATAGGTGCATTTTCCAGGTCTCACTCAGGTGACAGTCGTCACAACTGAAACGCTCAATCTCTTTTGATTTCCTATTGTCAATTTCGTGGCCTAAAATTTTCAACGATAGGACAGTTTATTGAGTGCAGTTGCCCAAAAAAAAGAAACTGTGTAGTTGATTTGTCTTTTGTAAAAACAAAAACAAAAGTTATTACTTTTTTAAAAGATCAAAAAGTTAACATTAAAGTTGGAACTTATATTCCGTACCCCTATATTTAACTTATTGTGAATGCTGAGTGCCGAGTTGCCGACTGCGGTATACCGACTGCGGTATGTAACTATGTATGTAACTATGTAAATATTTATGTATGCGAGACTGCGACTCTGCGTGCCCAAAGCCCCAAACTGCGCTCTCGCCGTGCACAGCCCATTGAGCCCGGGCCCCAGGAGACAGCAGAGTGCTATTTAAAATTTTATAAATTTAAATAGTAAAATAAAAATTGTAAATATGTATGTATTTATCATTATGAAATCGAACTCCTAAGTCAGATCTCGAGTCCTCGAGGTACGAGGCCTGACTCCTGAGCGGCCGAGCCCCGAGCCTCCGACGCCGAGGGCATCGGCCATCGAGGCTTGAGTGGACCACTGGATCTTAAAATCCAAATATTGCACACGTTCTAGAGTCGCGGGTTCTCGTTAGTGGTGAGTCGGTGACTGGTGAGCTGAGCTGGTCAACGGCATGTCTGTTGCCTCTGGCGATACGTCGCGACGGTCGTTTACATGTTCGACATTGGGGTCGCGAGTCGCGACATGTCTTCTGGCCGACTCAAGATTGAAGAAATTAGACCCTTTGAATAATCAATATCTGAAAATTTCGCCAATCATCACAGGACCTTTCATCGATTACCAATAAGTGAGCATGAAAATTCTGAAGATTTCCGACTGTATATGACATCCTGTCTAGTATGTATATCTAAACGACATACATACGACATGTTAACGATCGTATACAGGGTTTTTTTTGTTTTTTTCAGACGACATGTCGCAACCTCATACCAGCCCAGCTGGTAAGTCACTACTTTTAAATATACTGCCTCACTAGTGAGTGGTGACTGGGGAGTGGTGACTACATAATGACTTCTGCGCTGCGGGCGCCGCCCCTGCCTGTTGCCCTTAGAAAGTAGAAACACCCTCTACTACTACTCTCTAGAGAGAGTAGAGAGAGTAGCGAGGGCCCAGGGCCCCAGGGCTAAGCTCGATACGTTTTGTCTATATGTGATAAGCTTTAAACGTAAACGCAAAAAGCTTAGTTTTTTAAGCGTTTTAAAGTATATCGGGGGCAAATCGACAGTGATTTCTCCCCAAATTTGCGCCTGAGAAATTGACCTTTTTAAATTAAAAGGCGATTTGAAACTGTTCACAACTGACTCAGAGTGAAAAATAGGACAATTCGTGACAGTTAGGCCGCCTCAAAAAATGTACTTATTAGTAAACCCATAGGACTATATTTAGGATAAACTTTTAACGTAAACGCTTTATTTTTTACATTTTAACGGGAAACGTACATAATGAGGTTAGGCCCAGGGCTCCGGCCCAGCCCCAGACAAGTCCTCTCCTCTAAACCAAAGAGTAGTAGATACTATACAAATTTAAAAGTGTCCAGTCACCGGAGTCTCAACACTCCGGAGTCCAGAGTCCAGTCTCTCTTGTGTCAAGCCAATACTAGTAGTTGTAGCCTAGTAGTAGAGACTAGAGTAGAGAGAGTAGTAATGGAGTAAGAATCTATACTCTCTATTAGAGATTAGGTGAAAAGAGTCAACTCAGTCAAGCCTGAAAGGCTGAAAGTCAAAAGTCGAAGTCAAAAGTCAAAAGTGGAAAGTCAAATCACAAATGTTGTTGTACTTTTTAGTTTTTTAGTTTAAAAAAATATTTTTTAAACCGAAACAAGACAAAGGAGGTCACACACAAAAGAGTAAATAAAGAGTGAAGACTGAAGACTGAAGACTGATTAGAGATCACTGAAGTCTGAAGAGCCAGAAAAGAATTGAACACTGAAAAGTCTGAAATGTGAAATGTCTTGTTGGATTGAAGGATTCTCATCACTGAAGCAGACTTCTATTCGGAATACGTAAACACGCTTTCAATTGACGTGTTAACTTAAAACGTACTACGTTTTTATTCGTTATGTATAGGCCCACAGGGTCTTGGTTTCTGCCCGCCCTTATATTTGGCATAATTCGCTAACTATATTTCACCAAAATATATGTTGAGTTGTTTATAGTTGGACAGATTTTCTACTGACAAAATATAACAGCTTTTAATTGGGCCATATAAGGTGTATCCAAACAAAATTGGTTTTTAGAATTATCTCCCAGTATACTACCTGAAAACGGGAAACGGCTTCAAAACTAAGCGTTAACGTAGAAAGAACGTACTACGTTTTCAGCCTATATGAAGCACGTATTGAAGTCTGCACTGAAGTTGTAAACTTCTTGTGATTTCAATTTGTGATTTATTTTAGTAAGCATTTGTTTTTTCACGGTCCTCTCTGGATAGTCTTAAGCGGAAATCAAGGTTTCTCTCTACAACTCGAAAATTTAGCAGAAACTCAAATCCAGGCTCCAGAGGGCCGTGGGTTTTTCGATCTGAAAATAGATAAAAACCTAAAAAGGTGATCCTCATTTGCTTGCGGGCATTTGATTGAATAAGAACTGAAAGTTCTGACTTCGGATGTTGACATTTGACAATTGACCAATATTTTTTTTGTTGTATAATAGGGTACTTTTGTTTTAAGAAGGACAAGAAGGCTATGGTACTTTTCACCGCGTACACATTACACACAGTCACACACTCACAGTCACACTGTCACACACTTGACAATGTGTGTGAGCCTGTGATGTGAGTCTGTGAGATTGTGTGAGAGAGTGTGTAAATATTTTAGAGTACATCGAGAGTAGAGACTACTAAATAGTAGTAGAGAAGAACGTTGCAATTTTTAACGTATTGAGCAAAATACTTTAAAAAAAAAGCAGTATATACATATTGAGTTTTAGCTTTGAGAGAATTGAGGCCTCAAAAAAATTCTAAACCGCTTGTACTTCGGCGGCCCTAAAACTGGTGAAAATTAGGTTTTCTGGTTTGAATGGTCCGTCCTGAGAGATAGAAATGGACGATGGCTGACCCGAATGGGTGTTTCTATTGGTAAAAAACCTTTATAATAAAAATTGTGTGACTACTTCACTACCCAGTCTACCCACTAATTTTAATGAATTATAGAGGCCTTGAGAATTCAGAATTGGGAACAAAAAGAAAGCACTTTTTGCCACACAAAAATAAACTCTTTCTAATTGGATGAAACTGGCAGAAGCTCCCTTGTTACGCACTTTGAGTCTTTGACCGGATCACAACAATCGCATGAATCTCAACTGGAGAGCAAGCCGTTCCCCTGTGTTAAAATAAACGTAACTAAATACATGTCATATAGTCAGCTACGTCTATAGAACACGTCCCAGTGGATTATGAGCTATTACGTACACCAATGTACGGATACACAGGACGACAGTATAACATCACAAGTAATAGCCTGTAGTCAAACGTGCTGCGGCAAAACAACATGATGGCGAAGGAGGCCAACGAAGAGGTGCCAGATATAGCTGTTATAAACTGGTGCGTGGATTTCTAGGTTAAATATGCGTGTCACCGATAATATATGAATACAACCATGGTATCGAATGGTTGATTATTTTATGCCGAGTGTGAGGTTTATTTAGTATCCTTCGATGTGTGTGGATAACTAGTGTCTAACTGGGAGGATAACAGGTGGCCGAATGATGCCATTCAGTGCGTTTGTTCAGTGCGTTTGATGTGGCTAAAAAACCCCCTGGGTCGTTTGAATTTGCACACAGCAACATTGATCTATTCTGTCACGCCAATAAGCTTCATTGAATAGGTATATATATATA